TTATATAGGTGTTCGTTCGATGGGTTGTATTATCAAGAGTTGCTATGATTTTTAGTATGTTATCTCTAGGTTTTATTTACTCTTTCTCTCTCTCAATATATATATTTTAATTTGTCTATCTATTCAAAAAAAAAAAAATCTTTCCAGAAAGAATCATCAATGATAGGTTTATCCTTTCTTTCATCTTTTTCAATGAAACTAAAGTTTGGTTTTCTCTCGAGGATTTACGAGCCTTCTGGTTTGGGATTGATGTGCTTGGGTGGATAGTGTTGTTTTGCACATTTGATAAGAATTTTGACATATTAGATTGAAGTTTGGTCCAGGGATATGAGACTGATCTAGAGATATTCACAACCAGAATTTTTGTTTTAATTGAGGAAAAATGATTATTTCACATCGAAATCCTCATTGCTATGTAAAAGAATGGCTCTTGAAAAGTTGCCCAAAATTCATATCAAAAGGGATCCTCTGTTTTGTTGGAATTGCCTCGCCACATCAAGTATTTCTTTGACCTTTTGTAGCAAAGATGACCAATGCGTGAGAGTAATTCTTCATGAGATACACATAGTGGTTTGATGTTGCCCGTAAGAATTTTCTCAAGTGAAAATGAGACCATAGAGATTAGAATTAATACACAATTGGTCATCTTTCGCTAATTTCTAGCACAAAATTCAAGCCAGTAAAATAACAAAGAGATTCTCTTGGCATCAAATGTGAATTTCATGGGGGAATGAGTGGTTTATACAAAATACATGAATCAAAAATATATCATGTTAGCGTTGAGTTGTTTAGAGACATATGAACCAATAGTGCCAAAAAATAAGAAGAAATAAGAACAAGAGCATGGTATCATGAAAGATGCAAAGCATGTGGAAGCAGTCATATGTAAGGTCAAACAAAAGACTCCATGTAAGAAAGAATATCAAAGTTAGAGAGTCCTAATTTTGTATCATCTCGCGCATCAAGTAAAGTTAGAGAGTCTTTTTTCATCGAAGTCTAAAAAAGTTTCTAGAGTTACTATCTATACAAAATCTTAGAGTCACTATGCGAGAGCTTAATGTATGATTATATTAACCTTCTAAGATTCTTACAATTCATTCATTGCAAGTATATGTTTATGTTTTCGTAACATTTACTTCAACGATTGCATGAATTATGAGCCGTATGACTGGCCACAACCAGATCATCGACATGCTCTTCATTTTCAAATCCGATATAAAGAAGTGCGGTAAAAGTATGTTGATGATTAGTTTTTTTTTCTCTCTGCTTAGATTCTAATTAAAATATATTTTTCTTGCTCTTGTGATGAAGGTTTTGTGTTCTATTTGAAATGATGATGGGACCATAGTCTTTACATGATGATGTAATAAGCAAGCAAAATTAATGGTCATGAGTTTGTGAAATACGATGTGTGTATGTGAGAATCGATCTGAAATCACCGTGAGATTGTATTGTTTTCAATGAATTTACGTTCATTTGTAAGAGTATAGGTTTCCATATTAGGGTTTAAAACCCCGTATTTTGTTATGTAAACCAGATCATGTAAAGTGTAATCGGTATTTAGAGATGAGAGGTTATAGTCAGAGCACTGAATCTAACTAATGACTTTGTTTTACTTATGATACTTATGATACTAATGACTTTGTTTTACTTATGATACTTATGTAATGTTACTTATGATACTAATGACTTTGTTTTACTTATGATACTTATGAAATGTTATTAATGATTTTGTTTTACTTATGATACTTATAATAACTAGAGGAGGAAGACTTATGTAATGTTACTACGTAATATAACCCATCAAAAAGAGAAGGTGTGCTGATCCGCAAAACAATATTAAATTGTTTATGTTGGTATATTTTTGTTTGTGTTGTTTACAGACTGATTTTAGTTTCTCTTTGATTTGTTATTTTTCTGGAAAAGGAAACATGTTTATCTTCGATGAATCTA